TCCCTGAGGCAGCTCCCTGGCCCCAGGCTGTGGGGTCTCGGTGGCCCGGCAGTGCCCGAAGGAGGGGTCCGCAGGCCTTGAGGAGGGGCCCCGTGGGGGGGCCGCTGGTCTGTTGGCCGGTTTATACACTCAGGAGAACTCCTGCCCCCGTTCAGAGACGCCTGCAAGAAACGGGAAAGCAGTGGCAAAGGCCAGCCGAGTGCAGGGGTTGTGCTTCTACTCGTTGGAGTCAACTTCTGTTTTCTTCAGAAATCTGTTCAGGCATGCCTTACATGGGAGGTGCAGCTCTCCTTAAGCCACGTTACTTCACTTCTGGTCATGTAGGGTAAACGGCGTCGGGCTGGATCAGTAGTTTAAAGTTGATGTCTCCAGGGTCACCCCAGAACTTAAAGGAGAATAGTAATGGTGATTCAGTAGGCGAGCATCTGCCACGTTACTGCCTTCACAGAGGTGACCGTGCACGAGTGATTGGGAAGCGATACAGTCTCTGCTGTGTAATCTCCAGTTCTCTTGGATGCGGGGACAGAAGTTGCTTCTAGACTCGGTGCTTTTGACTTCTGTTCTTGAGAACGTTGAGAGCGGTATCCCTAGTGTTTGGAGCTGAAGATAGAGTGGGAAGAAATGGTAACAAAATTTCAAAGGGCTTTTATCCCAGCTTAAAATAACACCAAACCCTTTGCAGCAGCTACAGGTTAATAATGTACAAAAGTTAGTCTGAATCAGTTTTAAAAGAAGAGCACTTCGTTGAAAGTGCACATGTTGCTGCTTGTCGGTTTTGCTTGTCTAAATTAAACGCTGATTTTCCTCCAGGCATATACGATTAAAGCGTGTCTGCTATGTGGTCATAACGTATAATGACACAGCTACCTTGGTGAGGTTTAGAGGCTTATCAGATAGCAGGAGAGAATGATAACCTGGCAGCTTTTTTACAGTGGCCCGACAGCTCGACATAGAGCCTTTCTGTGTAGCTTTCAGTATTTATTTATAAAGTTGGACATGATCTACTTTGTTCATTGGATCCAGCATCGTAATGCCCCCTTCTGAATCTGACTTGCGCTTTGAGTCTTCCCCCCCAACATTTATTTTGAGAGAGCGCCTAAGGTATTTCAGTGAACAAGTTAAGGAGTGTCTTTTACTACAGCGGCATGAGCTCGCCTTTGCCTTAGCCAGTTCCGCACCGTTTATAGCTTTTATAATGAAAAATCTTGCTTTCACAGGACCATGAATGGATCCTGGCTGCTCACTCCTTTGCTCACCAGTGTCTACTGTTGGTACTCAGGCACTGTTCACAGATGCCTCTGTGTCAGGTGCAGGAACTGAAGAGCTGCTCACTGAGCAGCTGCTGTTCTTGGGTCTTTGATACTTGAGAGAGACTCTAGGCACCCAGTACGCTGGAAAGAAAAGTATGTGGGACAGTGGGATGGTGCCTGGTGGAAGCATGGCAGTTTGGTGCCACAGGGCAGCAGTGGCATGAAGAATTATCAGCTGATGCTCAGCTGTTTGTTTTACAGGAGAGCCTGCAGGTCTGGCTGAGGTGAAGAACCGGTTGCACAGTTAGTCACATGCATCTACAACAGGATGCAAACTGTACTGTAGAGAGCTTATCGTTGGGGTGGGAAGAAGACAGTTGTATTGAGTGTGACTCTAACTCAGGAAGCTCTTAAATGGTGGAGCTACAAGCAGAGTTAAGGTACTCAGATTCCTGTTCCAGGGTCAGTTCACAAGATCAGGAGTTTTCCAGCTGGTGAGCAAGGATTTTTTGAGCAGCTGACTGCCTCCTTCTACATGCACGCCTCCTCCAATGTTTCCGTTCTCTGGCACTAGGCCAAACCTGTCATCTGGCATCTGTCAAATTCCTGAGAGAGTGCAGTGGAGTACAAAGCTGTGGGCCCAGCTACCTCTGCTGATCAAATGAAATGGGCAGGGTGGCGGCTGTATTTTGAATAACGTTTGTTATTCCACTAGTTTCTGAAATCTTTCAGGTTTGCCTGCATCTGAAAGTCTAGTACAAGAACCAGGGGACATCAAAGAAGCTGGCTGGAGCCAGATTCAAAACAAACAAATGGTGTTCCTTCACGCAACACAGAGCAGACCAGTGGAACTCCTTGCCAAAAGTTGTTGTTCATGCAAGAAGATTAAGTAGATTCAGGAGAAGACTGGGCAAAAACATGGAAAAGCAATTCACTGCTGGTTTCTAAATAACAAAATGCTGTGGGTTTAGGATGAGCCAAAACCAGCTGGAGGTTGGAACAATACTTGCAGAAACTGCGTGCCTTGTCTTACATTTGCCTTGGTCTTCCAATTATGGCTGCTGCTTATCACTTTTCAAACTTAAGAGTTAGAAAAATGTTTTCAAGATACTTACTCCAGTGTGAATGACGCTGTGTTTCAGAGCATGGATGCTGCGTGGTGGTCACAGTCTTCATCTCAGCATTCTCTGTGTAAGAAAGCATCTGGGATGTGTTCCCTGGGACACCTTCAGTATTATAAATGAGCCCAGAAAAATGCTTCACTTCCTCCCCCGCCCCCCCCCAGCAAGCCAGGTTTAGCAGTCCCCTGAATGTCACCTTGAGATGATATTTCACGTTGCCCTTTCCAAGCCCTTTATCCCGTTTGTGTTTTTCTGACATGAAAAAGATCTACTTGGACTAGGGAAAGGAAGAAGAATAAGGCCACTGTTTTAACTGTGCCAGCATGGCTGACACACCATTCTGCTATGTACACCCATTGCTGACATAGTGAAACTTGTAAACATAGATCAAGGCCTAATTCATTGGCAAAAATACACTTTATATCTGTTACCCCACTGTAGTCAGTCAAGTGACGGGGAACAATGTGTAGCTGATTGGAACCAGGAGTGTTTGTCTTGTTTAAAAGTTACAGTTGTCTGATAAACTGTTCTGCTTTAGAGCTCTGAGTTGCTGTAACTGCAGCTATCAAGGTTTCAGTGGGTAATATTTCCCCTTGATCCTGTGTAGCCACTGAAGCAGTGTCTAATTGTTGCCTTTTCTGGCCTTTGGTCACAGATTATTTGAACAGGATTGCTGAATTCCACTGGAGCGTTACCTTGGAGTGATTGCGTAATCTCAAAGAAGCCTCACTGCTAAAAGATTGTCGAATTTTGCTTCGTGATTCCTGCAAACTAGGTACAGCAGGTCAGCCATGAGCTAGCCAACTCAAAATCTGTTTGAAGCATGGATCGGTTTAAACTTCCAATTCATTTTGTTATTTACTGTGTAACAGGAGTAACAAGACATTTATCACATAGCAAAATTCTACTGAATTATAAGAATGTGAACAAAATGCAGGAGATGTGCAAAGACAACAACTGAAATTTCATAGATGTTTCTGAGAGACTGCAATCTCTTGTGTTTCAGAAAGCCTGTAAGTACCTGAAATGAAGTGTGATTATTTGAAATCTAAGATAGCCTTATGGTGATAGTATAATTTTCTCCCAAATCCAGGTAACTGGACCACCAGAATACATGTTATTACTCCTGATTGCAGTAGTCTAGAAAAGCAAGTGTAGGCTATGGCTAGAACAAAAAGGGCTGGCTGCTCAGGTAGGTGTGAATGATGAGTGAGGAAGCAGAGGAAGGCAGATGTACCTCCCTGACAGGCTCTCTGAGGTCTGGTACTACTCACACTTATGCCCTCACCACACTGGTATTAAAATCTGTGGCTTTTAACCAGTGCGCAATCTGTAATAGACTTATTTTCACAAGCATTCTTACGATAGAGGGACATGGTTTATCTCCGTTTTGACACATGACTAGAAGAGTTTGGAGATGCATGTTTCTTCAGTATACCCTTTTGTCTGTTATCTGAGTCCACAGGACACAGCAGCCACCACAGCTTTGTGTCTTGGCATGCGCTGCTGCTTCCGATACCCGTGGTAAACGTGACTAGAATGTATTTGAACTGGTTTCCAAGTGGAGTGAGCCTGGGTTGTGACATCTCTAACCCAGTTTAGTTGGTTTCAAGTATAATGTTCTTCAAACTATGTTTCAAAAGAAGGAAATATTCTGCTACTAATGGCTTCCCTGTAAAATTTATGTGGTTCTAACAGAAGTTACGCTCTTTCCAGGCAAGTATATAGCTAAGGTAGGGTCTGTGCTCAGAAGAGCTGGTAGTTAAGAGCATTGTCATTGAGATGAAAGTAAAGAGGAGGGAAGTATCAAGTGGTTGCTTATACCAAAAAGGCAGCAAGTTTTTAGATTCTTACCTCCTTACTGCACCAGCAGTAAGAAAACAATATTGAATACCCTTCTTTGTCTTTCTGCGTTTAATTCCTGCGTACTCTGGTGTGTCTGAAACGAGAACTCTGTGAGGGAGAAGGAGGAATGTCAGAGATCTGGTTTTGCTCACGCTGACTTGCTCCAGCTTTGCAGAGATGTTTTTGGGGAAACCTATTCCGTATCTTAAAACAAACTTTGAAGGATGTGTGGTTGATGAACACCATTTGTCTAGGTGACTGCTTGTCCTTGTTTTCTGGCTTGTAGGTACTGGCACATTATTACTGCATAGTAATACTCTTCCATTTCCTGGCTTATTTCTCTAATACTGGGGGCTAGGAATGAAAGCTTTTGCATCCCTCCTCAACCTGATGATCTTGTGTCTTACCTGATCCAGCAGTCTCATTAGTTGTAAAGCTTAGTATTGCTTCTGAGCTCATTTGTAGTTTACAGTGGGTCTGTAACAGCAGTTGCCTGCCAGACATATGCAGACAGGCTCTTGGAATTTTGTGAAAAGGTGACCCTAGGCTCTCGTGTTCTGCACTGAGTTTCTGTGGTGCACTCTCAGAAGCCTTCACTGCCTACCTATGGTTCTGACTTGCTGCTGCTTTTTGCCCGCTCCATGTCCCTTCTAAAGGCTACGCAGATAGAGCATCTTCTGAGGTCTCATGAATAAATACAACCCTGCTGGCTGAACACAGAAGATGGACTGTATGAGCTGCTAATTAGGGAGTGAGTCATCAAGGGCAAACTTTCTTTGGCTTGCCACCTTAGAGCATCAATGACATTTAAAGTGAGCTTGGACTGAATATGGGGTTGTACAACGCCCTACTTTGTTCTTCTCTGGACCCAGTTTGCAATCTGGAGAACTTCATTCAAAGGTCACACTGAAACGATGCTTGTGAGAGCACCTGCTGTAGCTGTGAGTGTTGCAGAGCACGAGGAAGCCTTGGGTTTTCTCTCCCCCCTAAATCTCCTGACTGTGGCACGAGCAAGCTGGCTTCCCTTCTGCGCTGCCCAGGCCAGTGACTCTGGAGGGTGCCTTATACTGGTGATGGCTGTTGTGCTTTCACTTCCAAGTGACAGGGTTCTCCCTGTAAAACTGTTTGCTCAGTGGCATTGGTCATATCCTTCCAGAACTGGTGCTTCAAGACTATTAACGTTGCTGTCAACATGTACTTTTATTTATTGTGTATGCTGAAGGCTCCAGTGACAAGGAGGTTCCTGTTCTGTTACTGCTGTTGAGCAAAACTTCTGAGGACTGGCACTTGGGCCCACCTGTCTTCTTGTTGTTTGCTTTTGTCTGTTTCTTTTCAGTAACAGACATTTATCAGCCACTGTTTCCTCTGGAAGTACTTTTTTTCTTTGTTGCAAAGTGTTTGCAACACTTTCAGTTTTCACATCTTCCTGCAGGAGCTGTATCTTTGAGAAGTTTTGTGGGAGTGTAAATGACTTCCTGTATAAATAGTCTGGGTTTACGTTTGCTTGGGTATGACAAGGTAAGAATTGTCTGGCTGCAGTTGTGGTTGTCTAGACTAGGGAGTCCTTTCAGAAATATGGTATGCCAAAATGTTTTCAAGTTTTTTTCTTTTGGCTTGGTGATTACAGCAAAGGACAGATGTGCATGAATAAATAATTATTTTTCTTACTTGTGGATTTAGCAAGTGCATAGAAAGGCTTCAGACCCAAAGATGTAAAGAGGAGTAAATTTACTGTTCTTGTCTCTTGTACTTTACAATTCTTCTTGTCTCTTGTATATGCAAAGACTGGGTGGCACTGAAAACCAATATCCACTGCATGTTCCCTGTTACTACAGGGTTTTGTCTGCCTTTTTAGCATGGATGATTAGGAAAGCAAAGTTGTCTTCTTAAAAGTCAGTTCTGATATTTTTCCATCTGAAATGAGATTTCTGGTGAGATATCCCTAAGGAGTTCTTCTAGAAGGCTTAGAGTAAATGGCCAGCTTTTCATCCCCTAGTTTCTGTGGATCTTTGCAAGTATGCTTATAAAATAGCTGAAAATGGGACAGTTGTTCCAAGTAATGTGCATAGGCAATAGACAGCATCCTACCACTGTAGCCAAGTCTGAGAGTGTGATCTAAGGGGCGCAGAAACAACCTAAAGGGTGGTTTTGCTGTTCTGTCTTGTGGCCTGTGTTCCTGTTAACTGCCTTGTGTAAAGAGGGACATGCATCCAACTCTGTAGTGAGCTCATTCACGGCTACCCCAGCAGATAATTGATTCCTTTTCTTTTTTTTGTAGGGTGGGTTTTCTGCTAGGGTACTCCCTGATCTGACTCCCTCTGAGATCAAGTGAGCTTAAGGGTTGGTGTGGGGGAAACGGCAGCAAGACCTGTAGCCAGGCACGGAGGGAATGAGCGGAGTGGAGCCTCGCTTGGTTTTACAGCTAAGGCAATCTAATAACTGACTGCTAACTAAACTGTGTCCTAGGACTGCAGACTTTGCCCTTCATGACTGCTGAGAAAGCTCCACATTGATTTTGTCACATACCTGGACAATAAAAGGATTTATTCAGAATAAAGAGCTCTGATATGAGGATTGCAGAATTGGCTGCAGGAACTCACTGGAGTAAACAACTGGACTGGTTTTGTGTCCATACCGAGTATGTTTGGTATGAGGTGTGATAGCCAAGTGGGAATATTTAGACTTTTGGCAGCAAAAACAGGCAAGCTGAAGGAAGAGGGGCAATGACAACTGTTCTGTGTCTGTGGGAAGGAAAAGGATATTACAGAGAAAAACAGGTGTGTTAGTCCTTTGATCTGAAATTTAGCCCAACATCTCTTCTCCAGTTCCAGGCATGTAGCTGTTAGAGGCATTTCAGGCAGCAGTGAACAAGTCTCATCTTCTCAACTAGCATGTTCAGTGCTTGTTGCCTGATGCTCTAGAAAACTGGGTTAGGCCCTGTGTGTGCACTCAGAAGCCTGACCACTTTATTAGTTTAACTGGATTAGCTGATAGTTTAAACGGAACTATTTGTTCACACTCACACTGTAAAGAGATTGTACTTCGCTGGCTTTGTGGTTAGTGCTTTCCATTGCCATCTGTTCCTGGAATTATGGTATTGACAGTGCTAGAGAAGAGCCCAACCCATCAAGGAAAACAGAATTGCACCAGGGTTTTTCTTGTCAGTTCATACCGCTTGGTCTGACAGTTGTCTGTGACTGTCTGCCACCAACAGAAATGCCAGTGTCATTGTGGAGCATCCTGTGGATTTGATACTTTTGTTGTTGTAATTTCTGAATCTCTGAAATCAGTATACAATGTCAAACAGTATAACTTTTCGTGACACTTTTTTTTTTCTCTCCCCTGGTTGTTGAGTGGTTGTACACTGGATCAAGTTCAGTATTGTTGGGGCTACAATAGAGTCGTAGCTTCTTACGCCTCTAGAAAACAGGATGCATTTCTCCTCTGTCCTTCTCCATTCCTCATTGCACAGCTATGTGCAGAGAGAGACTGTCAGCCAAATACTATTATTTTTTGTAGTATCTGAAGAAGTAGAATATCCTTTCCTCCACTGGTGTCTGTAAAGGCAGTGTTGTCTTGTGCATCACTAGCAGTTGAGTTGCTTCAGGAAAGTTCTTGAGAAAATTGTGCAGGAGAGGCTCCTCTGCAAGCGAGGGAGTCTGATTTATGTAGTGAAGCCCATGAAAAGCTACATGAGGATATCCTTTCTTTTGTATTATTTTCTTGCCCAAATCTGTTACAGAATCACAGAAGGGATAGCTTGGCTGTGGGGGACAAAGCAGTGCTTCCCTGTGTATGTTGGGGATTTGCATCTTTGGAAGGATTTTTATTATGCAAGGTATTTTCCAGGCTGTGCAGCACACATCATTCTCTGCAAATTCCTGAAGGAGCGGTTGGACAATTGAATCTTTGGAAGATTTTATTGATGGTGTTGATTTGAGGCATCCGTGATGAATGGAAGCAGTTGGAAGGAAGGCTGCTGGCACTCTTTGTACAGTTTTTGCATCTAGCCCTTTGCTCACCTGAAGTCTTCTCTTCCAGCATCCAGGTGGAGAAGAGGTTTTGCTCGAACAAGCTGGTAGAGATGCCACAGAGAGCTTTGAAGACGTTGGGCATTCCACAGATGCCAGGGAAATGCTCAAGCAGTACTACATAGGGGAGATCCACCCGGTAAGGACCAGTTGGCTGTGACAACCTCTTTCAGACACAGGATGGGACTGTGTAAAAGTGTGAGTCTCCTTTGTGTAACCCACTAAACACATACACCAAGATGTATCTTGCGAAATAAGTAAGTAGTTAAGGGTTTTAGGCAGCCTCTGTGTTGTCCAGGATTTCTGTTGAGAAAAGGGAATTTCTCTTGAGGAAACAAAACTAAATTGGTCTTCTCTTTCCACCATTCAGAACAGATTTCTCACTACAATTAAATCAGGGGCACTTAAAGAAGTTAATCTAATCGGTTTCCTCCTTAACTGGTGGTACCATAACTTCCCCTTGCCTTGTAATTTAGAGTTCAGGAGGGTGAGAGATCACAGGGGCACAGCACAAACACCAGCTTCCTGCCTGCTACAAAGACGATGCCTTTGGGTGTTGAAGGAACGACTCCTTTGAAAACCGAGTCCAGGCAATTACCCCTATGATGAGGACTGTGTACAGAACAATTCCCTCATAAAGACTGCAGGTTTCTCTTGAAGTCAGTGCTTATCTTTTTTCTTCTTCTTTTTTTCCCCTTGACAGCACGATCGTAAAAAAGAAGGTTCTAAGGTAAGCTGTTAGTGTTTTACTTTTCTGTTTTAATTTAATGCTGTGGAAATGATATTATGCTCACAAAATGAACAAAGAAGTTGTCACATGCCTTTTTTTTCCTCCTTCCGCCCCCCCCCCCCCCCCCGTGGAGCTTGTGGCTTTATGTTTACACAAACTACAGTAATGAATAAATCTTCCAAGCAAGTTATACCTTTGTTTTTGTTCTGAAGCTCAGTAGTCACCTCAGTGTGAAATTGGAAGTGGGTTTTTGTGCCCTCTCTCCCCTGACATCAGCAATGTTATTTCCGCACCTTGAGCCACAGACCATTTTTTTGCATTACTCGCTATGTCCTGACCACTGAACTGTTAGTGTTGTTACATTCAAGCCAGGAGACAGGCACAGCCACAGCGGTGTTGGCCGTAAAACAAGAATTCTCTGTTAACTGCCCTAGTAATCATTGGTGTTGCTAAAACTCAGGTACTCCTGGATTAGAACAGGGCACAGTGTTGCAAAAATGCCTTTGAAATGGATGGGGAGAGGGAAATGGTAATAAATAGAATCCCATCTGAGAGGTAAACATGTGCCTTGCGGCTGGCTTCTCTTCTCGCTTGGCCTGAAGGCTTGGACCAGGCGCAGCTCTACCTTCAACAAAGCTTTCATTAAATGTTGTTCAAAGCAGGGCCACTTGCAGAGTAGCAGGAATCAAGAAGGAAACTATCAACAGAGAGAGTGGCCACTGAAGCCCTTGGGAGCGTTTGCTTGCTGCAGTCAGCCATAGAAAGAGTAACTCAGGCTGGGTAAAGCCTATGCTTAGTTATAACACAGGACTGCATGATTATTCATATATTCACCTTAAAATCTATTGTTTGGTTCAACTCTGCTTCATAAACAAAATCACATGCCTAAAATGTCCATAGACATGAGTAGTAATCTGTGTAGCTCCCTTGGATAGGAGTTAAATTTTTTTTTTCAAATAGTTTTCTGAGGACAAAGTCCAGTGAGTTATGTACAGCTAAGGTCTTTTTCCAGTGTACAACAGCTGTTTTAAAAGCAGGCCCAAGTATAATTTAAAAATAGCAGCAAGAAATAGAAGTCAGTAATGTAAAAATAAATAAGGGGGAACTGCAAAAAAAAAAAAAAAAGTTGTGCATGTATACTCTTGTGATGCAGCTCAGAGGTAGTTTCCCACATATAAGTGTCAAAGTTTAGTGTAGCGTTCGCTGCATATCAAGGTGCCACGAGTAGATCACTGATCAACCCCAGACCAGGGAAAGAGACAGATAACACACACAGTGTGAGCACCAACTTCCGCCTTTTATTGCGCAGTCAATTCCTTTTATACTAACAAGGGTAGGCGGGATTACAGACACATCATAAGGCTGCGACTAACCCTCTAACTTTCCGTGACATCGCGAGATCTTCAGAACGCCGAACCCTACAGTTTAGCATCCACCGAATGTATTACAGCAGAAAAGCAAACGCTAAGGCTCTCAAGAAATGGAGATAATTATGTTTAGGATGGGCAGGAAGGGTGATTTTTGGCTGGCAAGTATTATTAAACAGGAGAGCAGCAACAGCCATCGAGGAAGAGGCTGTAGAGTTGATGAAAGCCTAAATGAGAATTTCAGCTGACTGGAAAAAATATTTAAATTCTTGGAGTTTTATGAAAGGAGAAGTATAAAAGTTTGAAAACAGGTTGCATGCAAGGGAAGAGCTGAAGAGAACATCGTGGTTGTATGCTTCAGTGGTTGGGTGGTAGGAGAGCAAACGGGGAGGTGGGCAGGGGTTTGGAGAGCAGATCACAGTGAAAAGACTATCCATATCAGAGTGCCAGTTAGCGTCCATAGCATACAAAACGAACAGACTGGTTTATGAGGTAATGAGCAAGCCCTTTTTTTGAGAGGGGTGCAAGTTCCAGTGTGAAGTTGATGACTGGGTGGGAGGGATTGGATTGATGGAAAGAATGTGGAGGTGAGGGCGAGGGCAAACATCTCCAGAAACATTCATGCTTCTGATGGAGGGTGTTTGGGAGAGGAGGGGAGGGTTATTTTTCCTGCATGTTCAGTTTTGTAGTCTGATTAGCACGTTTAATGTTTCCTTTTTTCCGCTGCTAACTCCCTCTTTCCTCCTTCAGAATCCAAGTATGACATCCTCAGGCCAAGCAAGGTATAGTATCTTCTTAAAATAAGAGTAAGAAATTGAGGGGTTAAGACTCTCCATTTGTAGAACAGCATATTAACTCTAATGGGCAGGAAAAAAAACCTGGGGATATTACCGCACTGTCCTTCCAGCAAGCAGATGGTCCAAAATCAGTTGCCAGACTGCAGCGCACCAAGTTAGCTGCCAGGGCATGCACCTCCCTTGTTGGATGTGGAGACAGAGCTGGTGGCACCAAGTCCCCTGCTCCATGCTGGGCAGAACAGGCATCCTGGTGTTTTGCAGCTTGAATTCCCTGGCCCACGTGTTCATGTTACACAACTGTGGCCGCAGCCCTTTTGCACTACAGTGATTATTTGGGTGGCTGCTGCAGGCCATGGGGTGATGCACCACAGTGATGTGCATTTTTTTGGAGGATCTTTACCAAGCCCAGCCCCATTTAGTTGAAAATCCTTACAACCAGAACAAGGCCCTAGTCTTTAGTAGCTGCTGCAGAACTTTTTTGCTAAGGAGGCTGCTGAAGGTGAGCCTGTGGCCTCTGGTTTATAAGTGAGGAAGATTTATTGTGGGATAGCTGCAGCAATTTCTATCCTTGAGTCAACTCAGCTGTTTGTATAGCACAAATTACAGTCTGACTTATTTAAGGAAAAAAAAACCCCAACAACCAACAACAAAAAACCCAAATTGGTTTCTGTATGTGCCAGGCTGGAAACTTCAGCAATTCAGCTGCTATTTTATAAGCCACCAAGCCACCCTTGCAGGCGTAGGGGCCTCTTGCAGGGGCCAGGCAGAACACTGAGCACGGGGACTGCTATTGCTGCCCAGCCCTGTGAGCCAAGGCCCGTTTGGCTGGTCTGTTAGCTGATGGGAGGCAGGTCCCAAGAGTTCCCTACATGAAAACAGACGTGTAATAAGTGATGAACATCTTGAATGAATTATTAACTTGATACTTTCTTCTGTTTTATGTTGTGTGTATTTTTTTGTTTGTTGTTTGTTTTGTCTGTTTGGTTTTTTTTCTCCCTGTAGTTTCTGGTCAACATGGCTAATCCCCATCTTCGGAGCACTGGTCTTAGGTTTAATGTATCGCTATTACATGTTGGATGGGAGAACCTCTTGAACTGACCTTGCTGGGACCTCAGAAAGCCCGAAAGAGAGGGTGTGAGAGAGTGCATGCATGCAACATGTGGAGTTCTCCTTACCTTAACCCTTTTCTGCCTTGCTTTTAGCTTTGAGTCTGTCAAGTGATGTTGATATCCATGGGACCAAGCTAATACCAAGCTCTCTCTATCCTAACTCTGGGACCCACGGAGCTGTCGTACTTTCCTCTTGTGGTGGCAGGGCAAGTGCAACTTCCTGGTATTCTCTTAGTTTGTGTGTGGTCTCCCTCGCATGTGTGCGCCTGTTCTCTCTCTCTCTGAGGTAAACCACAGACAACCTTTTTCTTTCAATGCCTTTTCGTTAAGCCAGACAACGTGAAACAGCTGCTAGTGAGCCTGTGGATTTGCCTCAGTCCTTCACATAGCATTGTCAGAAATAAACTGCAAGTTGTCTACAGTCCTTTCCAGAAAAGATGTCCAGAGATTCAGTTTCGCAGCAACTTTCCCAGTGCATGCAGGCAACACTAATTGGAGCAGCAGGAAATTGTTAGCTTTGCTACCTCTTTCTGTACGTGTCTGTTTTTAACGGTTAAACAAATATAAGTATTTTAAAAGTGATTCTGTTCATTTTGTAATATTTGTACTTGTCCCTTTTAAAATGTATATTCTGTGAAAAAATTTATACCTTGAATCTTGGTTTGTTTGGGTGTTTTTGTGCTGTGTGCGGCAATGCCAGAAATGGGAACTGACGTGTGGCTCCTCGAAATGCAGATTTTTCTTTCTCCCTGAGGTCTTGATCTGACATATGTATTGGAAACAAAACTCATTCTTACTGTCAATGTGCACCAGATGGGGGGGGGGGGGGGGGGGGGAAAAAA